ATTCTAACTTTTGAACATACTAACCCTCTGTTTTGAAAACGTATATATAGTACTGCATAGTAGGTTTTCTGAAAACTCTAACATGCCATGAAAAACATTCGTAGAACATGTACGTGTAAAATAATGCTCAATAATTAATGGTAATCTAGTGGCACGAAGGAAAATTTGTAAAACATCCGTAAATTACATCAATGATGTACTCAACTAGGAGTATCATAGTGGCCCGAAGGCATACCATCACCTGAAGGTGAAGCTGTACGACACTGGGTTACGCTAGTAAAGAAATCATGGTCCATCATCCAAAGGTGAAGCTATACGACATTGGGTTACGCTAGTGAAGAAATCATGGTCCATCACCCGAAGGTGAAGCTTACGACTTTGGGTTACACCAGAGAAGAGAATATAACATATATATGTATATATAGTGGGTCCATCACCCAAAGGTGAAGCTGTACGACTCTAGGTTATGCTAGAGAAGAAATATAAGGCCCATCATCCAAAGGTGAAGTTGTACAACTCTAGGTTACACAAGAGAAATATACATACACACACACACACACACACACACATAACACACCGACACTAGCCCCGGGCTAGTGAAGCTAGGAGTATGTCATAAATATCATCAATTGTGTATTATGGCCATATACATCTACATACTCAGTTGTGTGTAAGTGTTGTATGATAACCCACTAAATAAGCATTGAAAATGTATCTCAAAAATCTCATATCAAATTCGGAGCTCAAAAGCTCAAAGCATCATCTTATAAATCCATAATTAATCATATTCATAAATCTGGAGTATTTCATATACGAAAATCTAATAATTCATAACCTTTCGTAAAACGTAAATTCGATAAGTCATAAATAATGCATAAAAAAAATCATGAAATCATGTTTTCTTGAATGCAAGCCTAATATTTTATAAAAAAACATGCAAACAATGGTCCATTCACAGATATTTTGTTGCCGAGGAGCTGCCTAAATGAGAGAGGACGGGTCACTTCCCACTGATGCACCTAAACACAAATGGAGACCATTTTATAAAACTCTACTAAAATGATAGAATTTGGGAAAATGAACAGCAGATTCGGATTTGGAACGTCGAAAAACCTAAGGAGAAACCTCGGGTTCCCCCATGAGTTGCCATGAACCGCCACGAGGCGGCGGTCCGAGAGGCCACGCTTCACTGCACGTGCCGAGATGGGTTGCCAGAAAAGTCACCAACGTTGTCGTGGAAAGTGGCAGAGCACAGTACCTCCGGTTGAGGCGTGTGCTCCACGAGCTGGTCATGATAGCCTTCCACGAGCACCTATGCGCCGACCATGAAAGATGGGTATTGGGACCGGGTTGGGTCGGATCTGGGTCGAATTTGGGCTTTGGGTTGCTGGGTTGGGCCGAGTTATTGAACTGGGCCTAGTTATTGGGTTGGGCCCGATTTTGGTTTGGGTCTAGATTGCTGGGTTGAGGCTAATAGGTCATGGATTTAGGCCAGATTTCAGATTGGGTTTAGACCTAGTTTTGGGTTGGGGGTTGGGTCGACCTGATTTCAGGCTGTGGGTCGATCGACTTTCCCGAAAAAGAAAGCCAGTGCTTGGAAAGCTCCGTTCAAGCTCATTTCTTCACCAAAAATGATGTTCTACCTATGGAAATGAAGCTAGGAATGATAGGAATGGATTCGTACTAAAAACAGGCCGAGTGGTGGCTGGAGTTGGCCGAAAAATGCTTTCAATGCCACGACCCTTGTAGGAAAACTGGGGAAGGTTCCCTCGAGTTGTTTCCTGCTTCTAAAACTATACCACACAAACTATCCTAATCGTGCCCTAAGACATAATCGAGGAAGTTTGGGATGGTTTTCGAAGCTCACCATCGTTGGAAATGGCGAGGATTTGCCGAAGAAACTTGGACAATGAGAAAGCGAGAGGAAGATGAGCCTCAGCCGGTCTGGGTTGCGATGGGGAGGTCTCAAGGGTGGTGGGGTCGCTAGAGTGTAACCCACGATGGTGGTGGTCCAGTTGTCGTTGTGGTGTTTGTGCGTGTATGTGTGTTTTTGCTCAGTGAGGATAGGAGTACAGAGATGGGGAGAAGGAAACAAAGAGATAGATGAGGGAGAGATGAGAGAGAGCTAAGGGTTTGAGAGAGTCCGAGAGATTGGGGGAGGAGAGGACACAGGGAAGAAGGGAAATGGGTGTAGGCCCCACAACCATAAAATTATAAAATAATAAAAATATCTAACCCTAATATCTAGAATAGTGAATTGACTACTTTGCCCCTCGACTTCGTAGTTCCATAAAACATTCATCGTAACTCCAATTTTGATTCCGCTTGCACCCATGCGTTTGTAACGTCGAGTACTACAAGGATACTCTAAGGAAACAAATCTTACGTGACACAACAAGACAGTCAACAAAAGTCAACGTTTTTCCTCGAAGGGCATTTTCGTAAATTCACACTATAAATTATAAAAGCCGAAATATTTGGAGACGGGTCATTACAGAGAGACACATGAAGAAGACGATACCAAATGATTTGAGGATGTCCTTAAAGTCCTGTGAAAAAATAAAATAAAAATGAAAGCCCAAAATAACCACCAAAATTGATGATGACAGAGGAGATACGCACCAAAATTAAAGAACACAAAATTTCAAATCCCTTAAGCTAATTTAGCAGAAAATTAGCAGCTGATGAGATAAACAATATATATATATACACACACATACTTATGATTAAACAATCCAAGAGTTAAATTATAACAAATTCATATACTTTGAAACTAAAATACCCGTTGACCACCAAAAAAAAAAAAAATTCATGCAAAGATTTAACCTTTAAGCATGAATATTAAAAGCCAAAACCCAAACTTAAAACCCGGGATTCATAAATCAGACTCTTGATAACCATAATCAAGGGCTTATTGAAATCAGAGCACTCGTACTTCAATTCGTCTTCAATGCTCCAAAGCCATTTTTTGGTTTTTTTTTTTGTTTTTTTTAGAGAGAGGGATTTCTTAGAGAGAGAGAGTTGAAAGAGAGATGCAGATCGTGCTTTCTGGAAGCAATTAAAGTTTTTGCATCCTTTTTTCTTTCAACGATGATCGACACATGCACAACCTTCTCCATAGCCAGGTTCAATAAACGAAGAACAAACCAAAAGAAAGGCTCCGCCAATCATGGACACCTAGATAGTAATGGCAAATCCGGCCCATCACTGTGGAAAGCGGCAAAAGCAAATGCTGAAGACCAATGGAAACCTAGCAAATGTTTTAATCGGGCCCATCACTATGGAAAAAGTGGCAAAAGCCGAAAGTTCCATCCAGCGTGTTTATTCCGGGTTTAAAACATTTAAATCCAACTTTAAACAATTTCATTTACTAGGTTTTGATAAATTAAAACAATGGTTCGGTGAAACTTACCATATAGAAGAAAAAATAAGATTTTGTCGGTGGATTTGACATGTTGTTTCTCCCCATGTCATGGGTCATGGCTATAATGAAAAACGTAAAATATTTATTTTCCTCCAATATCTCAGTATGTTTCAATTCAATGGTTAAAGTATAGAGTATTGAATGCAATTTTTTGCACTTATTGCATGGTTAAATCAATTCTAAAAAGTACCAACTTATTTTTAAATTAAAAAGGTCCAGTCCCTGTAAAACTCATGCTCTTCTCGTTTATGTTTGTTAAACAAGATATGTATGCTCCAAAGAAAATGTCAATTTCATGGATTAGACACGTTATGATTGTGTTACGAAATAAATAGGTTCTTTGTGAATACTGCAAAAATAAACACATCAGCTTTACGTCTACATTCACTAGTAAGTAACATTGTGTGTAATGTAATGTACATGTACGTCTGGATATTTTTAAATTATAAGTCTAATCTCATAATAGGCTAGTAATAATTTAGTTCAAATTCGTCTTTGGCGAGAATCAAACTTAAAACCTCTCACTTACAAGTGAAGAGGAATACCACTAGACCGTGATACTAATACTAAGTGGTTTAAGTATTTTCTACATTGACTATACATAAAAAAATCATATATTTTTCAATACTATTATTGACCCTAAAAATTACAAAGCCTACATGACGCATAGGCCAATAAACTATTTAGCTAATTACGTTCTTGTGAATGCAAGCATACCAACTCAAGACCAAGCTCAGTCGCACAAATACGTTGTTCGTTTTTGCACTTGAGCGACTACTATCGTGGAAGGAACGTCTATTGGCCTAGGGTTCTAGAACATAAATACAAGGTTGCTTAATTCACTATAAATTTAGGATCTTCTGCAACTGGTCCAATTGCTTCAGCTATATTTATGAGAGTATAAGTGCGTTGAATTGGTATCAGATTGTATGGACAAAGATACTAAAAGAAAATGAGTGTTTTTATAGTGAACGTGGTTTGGCTGTATGAATCTCGAACTATGAAGTGCACTTGAGAGTAACAGACCATAAAACACTACACTTCGCTAGAAAGCTAATGAATGACCTTTTAAGGTGAAATAATTAGAAACTTTTTGCCTGCCCAACTAGCCAGTAGCAATTGAAGGTGCTCCTAAATTGCCTGATTCTACGACTCCAGTATTGTTTACTTATCCAAACTAAAGATGTATCAACAAGAGGGTTAGGATGGTACTTTTCTCAAGGTGTGAGAAGGGTTCGCGTAGAACCAGGGTTTTCGTATAGAGCGTTTTCAGTTGTTTGCACCTCCCGTGGCCCCTGCACCAACTATTTGACACGCCCCACACCAACCCCCCCCCCCCCCCTCCCCTCCCCTCCCCTCCCCTCCCCTCCCCTCTCCCCTCTTTCCTCCTCCTTCCCAAACAAGGCAGAGGCTTAACCTACCTGACCTCACAGAGAATATAATGAGTCGCCGGGGGCCCAAACTCATCTGGAGTTCGGAGAAAAAACTAAAAACTCATCTGGAGTTCGGAGAAAAAATAAAAACATCTCTCAACATGAATGCATCAACAAAACTGGGTCGAGTTGAAGGGAATCTCTACGTTGCAAAACTGTGAATTTAATGATGACGGAGTGCTAAGTTGTAAAATCAAGTAATATTCCAATTCCTCAACATGTTCTCTAAATCCTAAAACCACACCCCCGACTACGTGCTATAACCCGAAACAGCACGGACAAGTTCAGACCAACAACACTCGATTATAAAGCTCAACCATGCCCGCTACTTTCACCACTTTACCGTGTACATGTTACTTCGCTCCACACCATTGCGCCGTCACCATCCGAAACGGCAAAACTTACAGAAAGATCTGGCAACTAAAATGGGCAGCACCTGCAAAAAAAAATTACTGCACCAACATAACATAAAGTTTTGTAGGAAGGAACCATGTTGCCTTTTAAGCAAATCCAGGATCCAATTGACATAAATAAGTTCATTTCGATAAATTCAAGTATGAATTCACGCAAAGAAGAAAATATGTACAACAGTAAGAATCAGATCACAGGTCCTTTCAGCGTTTCAATTCTACTATTTTTTTTCTTTCTATAAAGAACTGTTATATAAATTCGTTCTTCTCTTCTTTACAGTGCAACTTCACAAGCTAACCTTGTCGAATGTCAAGATGCTGTTGTGCAGATGTTTACAATGTCTTGATAAATGCACTCTTCCCAATCCTTTTGCCCAACTGAGATTGCAAAAGTAGAACCAAGACCGGAATCTGAATAAAATAACAATACCGAGTCTGTAAGAACCCTTGAGAAAATAAAAACAATAAACATCGCACCCTATTTGAAGGCTTTGAAGTTTATGGCTTTCAGAGGAAAATAGAAGCTAATCCCGAACATACAAGGGGGATAAATCATGGTCCTAGTGTAAGAAAGGCGTAGGACTTGTAAAGGTATGCCAAAAAGTATATTAGTTTATTTTTTCTGAATTAATGATGCATGCAATATTACATGAGAAACGAATGTCCTCACCTCCCAAACATCTTAGTGGGAGCTCACATCTTGCTGGATTTGGCCCAGAAGAACCCTTTCTTTCTAGTAGAATGATTCTCCGATAGGGCTCGAGTGCTCTTGGAGCCAAATGAGAAGCGCCGTCTCAAAAAAGGCTTTCCCAAGGAGCTTTTCATGCTGGAACTGGATCCCAACTTCGGATCCTTTCCTTGATGTCCAATGCTTTTCAAGCGATCAAACACAGCAGAATCACCATCAAGATCTAACACCCGGTTCCTCGATCTCTTGTTTCTAGCCTTCAAATCCATTTCAGCTTTCAATGCTTTTTCGGACAACTTGTGGATCTGTTTCTCCCCAAAAGTACAAACTGGGCAAGCTGGGTCATACTTGTTAATTTCAGGTGTCATATTCTCCAAACACTCGGCATGATAAACATGTCCACAAATTAACACTGAAACCACAGAAAGCTCATTGGTTGCAATAATCTTTTGGCTGCTCCATGAAGATTTCTCACCCAAAAGCTTTGAGCAAACCCCACACGTCTGCGAATCAACAGAGGGTGAAGCTGAAACTCTGCTACTGGATCTAGTTATCTTTTCACGATTAAAGCCAAAGGACTCGCTATCAAAAGACCACCTTTCTCTATTAGATGTGGCCATGAGCTCGGAAAATGCATTCATAGACCAACTATCAGAAGAACCACCACGGGAGCCCCTAGCAGATTCATTGCTCCATGAGGGAGGCCTTGCCTTATCTTCAGAAATTGAGAAGCTGTTGGGTGACTTGTTTCCTGGGACTCGGCCATCAGATACTTGCCTTAATAGCTGATGTCCTGGAGAACAGCGGGGCCACCTCAATGGAGTTGAGCTCGGAGGAGGCAGGTGACTCTGGGATGACAAAGGGGATGCCGACAAGGATGAAGTAGAAGGCAACGAAATTGATAATTTTGTTGGGGATGGATATGAAACAGTAGGGGACTCTTCTGACTCTTTTACCTACAGACATAATGAAAGTTAAGGGAGTAAATGCCACAATCATGGGATGATACAAAGTATTGGTGCTTAAATCATAGCAGAAAGTGCCACCCTGGCATAACATCTACCTGCTCAAGACTTGCATCCATGGAAATATTTCTTGAAATGGATTGATCTGCAATAGTAACATACATATATATCAGATAAAACATGTCATGCTAAACAGCTTACATAGAAAAGAAAAATTAAACTAAAGAGAAATCTTAAGGAGATCATCAATTTAAAAAAGATAAACTACTATACTATTCTATTTCCCCATAAACCATCCAGAAAAATGAAAAACATTCAACTCAATGTTAAGCAGGAAGTAACATGATCTATTCATTTTCTATCACAACTGACAAATTAAGATGGATGTTCCCTTTTAAGCTCTCAAGCTAATATGCAATAAACTCAAACTGCCCAGTCCAAAGGGCTTCACAACATAGGCCCTATGATTCTATAATCAGTTTCCCGGAAATTACATGAAGATTTGAAAAAAAAAAAAAAAAAAAAAAAAAACTATAACATTTAAGTAATATATTGAATTAAAAGTATGTAATGAACCACAGGATTTGACACCACCCCTAGTTGCAATGTAGACAAGGCAATAGGCATAAAGATTCTCACTTTGCCTACCCCCCAATCATAAGCCAGTTACAGGAATGAAAAAACCCCACCAAGGAAAAGGAGATCGTCATGACATGGAAGCTAAGAAAAAAGAAGGAGTACACAGTTTTGACAAGAAATGTCACAGAGATTCCAGTATTGTATTTAAGCATGGGAAACACTATTGGCATTGAAATTTATAAGGAATGATGATATTATCATTAAAACTACAACTCTGGCAACAGAAAAAGTATTTTGGAAAACATAACAGCACAACAGAAGCACCTGTGGGCAATCGAACCCAGAAACTCATCCTTCACCCTTATCTTCAGGGGAAGGAGGTGCCACTATACCCAACGGCCATTTACTAGAAAAGTAATAACATCTAAAGAATGTAATACTAATAACCAAACCATCAGTGCCTTTTTCAATCCATATTTACATACATGAGGTACATAAAACTTATAATCCAAATCATCAATGCCTTTCTTTCAAATTACTATTCACCTTCCATCAGTGCATATTTGTAATGCATAGCCACCAAGTCACCCTCAGTTCAGAGCGTGGCCTTTCATGGAATATGAGCTCGTACAGACAAGGTAACTACATCTGCATTGTCTTTTGGATTACAGGCAACTAAAAACATAATAAAGTTGTATATTGTTTTTGTCATTCGCCCACCTAAATACCTTAATTGGATGCAAAAGTCTTGTCTTCGTATTTGACAAAGTCTCATAATGCATGTGACACTAAAGCCAATATGGTACATGCAAAAAACATGGCCAACTTGCAAGAACAACTATAAGAATAAGAGTACAATCTAGCAAGACATAATCCTGTAAACAAGAAACAAGAGAGTAACCTCTCCAATCCAAACGTGTGAATTGTATATGAAAACCTTTCAGAAGAGAAGAAAATTATTCAAACTTACACTGCAAAACTATTGAAATATGAATAGAATAGAAGAGTTTTCATACTACAAACTACCTGAAGCAGGAGTCCGGACATGCCCGGCAGTTCCCTCAGATACTGAAGATTTTTGCGCCGTATGTCTTCGAAAATGTTCCAGTGGACTTCCCTCCTCAGATACACATGCCGACTCAAATTTAACTTCTGATCCATCATTTCTGCTAACACCATCAGAAAACCAACTTACAGAGGTCTCTTCAGCTGCCACCCCCACCCGGTTATCCCACCGAAAGCTCCAAGTTGGTGAGTACCGCATATTACGATGCACAATTTCGCTATTAGCTCTGTTTGTTACAGTCTTGTCTCTAGCAGCAACACAACAAGCAGAACCCATCCTCAAAATACAAAAAACTCTAACTTACAATTATAACCCCTAAACCACAGCTCGCATCCTCAAACTTCAAGCTCAACTGACAGTCGCAGCAACCCTGACCCCATAAAAAGTTGCTCCTTCTGAAATTTGCAATCGAAGAAACAAGCCATCATCATTTCTATCGTAACAAAGAACGAGCATAAAAGGAAGTGATTGAGTTTAATAAACCCTAGTTCAGTTACACAAAAGCACGAAACATAAACGTATCCGAAACTACAAACCGCGAAAAACATAGCAACGAAAAATTAAGAAGAAAACCAAACTCCTCATAGACACCACAAAAATTCAAAATTAAGTTTACCCAAATGAGAACGGTTCACGAATCTCACATCTATTCCTTTTTCCAGGTGGGATTCACAGTGAATGCAAAATATGGCCAAACCCGACTCGAATCGAATTTATAGACAGTCAAATAAATCTCTGGATTCGAGCACAGCTTCAAAAATTAGACAAACACAGATTCATTTTTCATATTTTTCCACTCACAAACACCACCAAAACTGTGCCCACCCACACACAAACAAGCACAGTGACAGTGAGTGGGAAATATATAGAGCTCCAGATATCGATTCAATCTGCTACTCCTAAGGGAACTCAAGATTGAGTCTAAAATCCAAAATTGCAGGAAAAACAGATCACAAAAATGCCCTAAAATTAGTAAACATTGAGGAACTACAATAGTCAGAGGATCCGAATTTCATGCCCAAAAGATCGAATACGTAGTCAAAATTCCAAATATTTGGAAAAAAAAAAATCCAACTAATTAATCCCTAAATTATGAAACTGGATAACAAATAATCAGAATACTCAAAAAATTAATTTTAATAAAAAATAAATAAAAGCAAGCTGTGCATTACGAGTTGCTCCCGGAGAGGTGAAGCTGGAGAGAGAGGAAAGCGAGACTTGCAGAGAGAGAAAATTCTAGAGAGTGAGAGGCTGAAGCCGCTGCTTCTTGTTCGTTGCAGAAGAAGAGTGAGAGGAATCGAGATCGTTTTAGACGGTTTTGGTAACGCTGTTGGTGGCTGTTGAACACTACGACGTCGTAGCTGGACTAACGGCGTTTGGTGACGCAAAGTGCGTGGAAACGAGCGCTTTGTTTATTCACCGATCGATTTGTAGAAATTAAAAATTAAAAAATAATAAACTGTGTTCGCTTTTGGTGGGAATTTAGAAATTAAAGCCTGCTTTACGGGGTTGTACCACAATGACACAGTAGTAAACAGTTCCCGATGGATTACGCTGGAGAGTGTTGTACTTTAGAGTTTTTGGAAAGATTTTGGGCGGCGGTCGTCTTATGGGGTACGCAGAGTGCATAGTACGCATTCCGTGCCTTTCACGTTCCAGCAAAGTATCCTGTGAATTAATTTTGAACGCGGATTGTCTGCTATCCTATTTGGGTGTTCTTCCTATCTTTTTTTATTTGTGCAGTTACGGTTAAATTACGTCAATCTTTTATATTTCTATTGTTTTTTGTCTTATTATCTCTATAAAAAAAATTAATATAAATTGTTGATGTGGTTTAACCGTGACTGCACAACATAAAAAGGGATGGGAAGGACATCCAAACAGAAGGACAGACAATCTGCCTCCATTAATTTTAGCATTGATGACAAAATTAAATTGAATGACCGAGGTACAAAGTTACACCATGTAATTTGAATTTTAGTTGTCCAACTTAGGGGCTTGAATCATACTTTAAACAAGCGATATTGGTTTACTACTGCAATTGAAAGTTACACCTTCTTTTCGATGTTGCCAGCTTGAGTTGTAATTAAAGTTAGTGGTTGTATATTGAGTTTGGAGGTGATAGCTTAATGGAGGTGGTGGGTGACTGTTAATTGGTGGAGGTTATGCTTCCATGACATTTGAATGATTTTGAGACAAAAACAGAATTTAACTGCAGTTTAACTGAAATTTTCAATAAATTGAGTGCTTATTTAGAATGTTTAAAAAGATTGAGATTGGTTTGAAATAACACTAAAAGATTAGAAAATTTCAGTACTTAATCCTAAAATTTAAACGGCAACATTCAGAATTTATGGTAGATGGTTTCTCATTTACTTATGTTATCTTTAAGTTTGTTTGTTGCACAATTGTAAACCACTGCAGCCACCTTTTGTTTTTTAGGTCGACGTCTATATATAAAATATAAGGTAGGGTTTAACAAGTCCAACAATTTATTAGGTGACGAGAGTTGGACGGTGCAAGTGTAAACACGATGACTAATTTGGACACTTGAGTTTTATACGTAAGTTCGAGTTATCTGCTTAATAATAAATAAATGAAGTTTGCTACTTGCAGTTGGCCTTTTATTTCTTCTTTTCCTTTTGCTTTTTGTAGAGTTAAAGTGGATGCTATATTCGTTTTTACCGGAAATATCCTTGTCAGTTGTGCTTAAACTGGCAACTTAACGTTGCAGTTTAGTAATTTTTTTTTTTTTTCATTTGTAAGTGAAAAATTTTAAGTTCGATTTTGATTTATAACGAATTCAAGCTAAATTATTGTGAATGTTCAATTTGGCTTAATTCAACTTCTTTTTTACCACTTAATGTAATAATAACGTTGTATTTACCAAACACGTCGAATCTTGAGAGTTTAGGGAGCAGGGAGGAGATGTCTTTTTCGGTTGTGGTGAGTTGGCCACTTTAAAGTGCAAAAAGTGATTTTGTCAAGAAGAAGCGTGTGCGGTTAAGACTTGAGAGTCGTGCAATTAAGAAAAAACATCCACATCAAGGGGGGATTAGTGTCATTTTAATAGATGATTAATCACCAAATGGGAAGGCTACAAGCAAAAGTGATGAGCAACCTTTGCCACTTTTGTTTGGAATGTTAGGTAACACACGATTTTGACCGTGGGAATTGTATCAAATGTTTTTGCAAGGTGTGTCGGTGGGATCATTGGATGAGTAATGTCTTTTGGTAAAACATGTTATGAATAAGGAAAGAGATTTTTTTTTTTTTTTTTTTTTGAAATATCATATGGACATGGCTGACTAAGAAAATTTGGGGTTTCTAGGTGAGCCTTAGAAGTGGGACTCTAGAGTTCTTTGATTCCCGAGCCTTTGTACATTGATATGAATAAAAAGGAATTCTCCAAATACATGAAAAAGCCAATTTTTACATGAAATATGATTAAAAATTAATATCAAGAAGAAAGGTATACAACGATTATTTTTTTCCTTTTTTGAGACTCAAAAGAGATGCTATCTGTTAGTAGGCTTACTGTGTCTAATAGGAGGCATGATACTAACCCGTTTTCAATCATGAAATCACAAGGCAAAAATCAAAAGAGAGTGCTTGAAAATATATTTGTATTTTTCTCGATGAGAGGCATTTATAAGAATACAACTCTAACGTAAATAGAAAGAAAACTAATTACACGGGATTACATGAGATTACATGGGATTGATATCAATTAAGGATCCTACCTAAAATACAAAGTCAACACTACGCCTAAAGTTGGTGCATATCTGTCACACATGCCCAACTTGTGTAAGAAACCTAAAAACTTATGACTTGAAACAGCCTTGGTGATGATCTTCCGTTCTTATTGTCGGTACCTCAATTATTTTTCCTTCCAATTTTTCTTTGATGGAGAATCGATCAACTTCAACATGTGTTGTTCTATAATGTTGTATTGGATTATTTGCAATGTCACGTGCATCTTTTTTATCACAAAATAATTTCATGAGATGATCATGCTTTTGTACCCAAATCACTTAACAAAAGCTTAAGCCATAAAATTTCACAACTCCCAACACCATATATTCAACTTTTGCAGTTGAACGGGCAACGACATTTGTACTCCTCTATGTACCCAAGTTACCCCCTACAAATGTAAAGTAACCTAATGTTGAGTGCGTATCGTCAACTGAACCTGTCTAATCTGCATCAGTATAATCTTCAGTCCTAAGAAGGTTATTCCTTTTAAACAAAATCATTTGCCTAGACTTCCCTTCAAATATCGTAAAAATCCTCATTACTACATCTATATGACTTGCTACACTCAAGACATAAGCAAGGTCTGGTCTTGTGTGTGCCAAGTACATTAAATGACCTACTAACCATTGGTATCTCCCTTGGTCAACTAGTACTTGATTAGGATCAACATTAAGCTTCAATCATTCCTCTAATGGTGTAGCTATTAACTGACAAGCTGACATGCCAATTTTGTGCACTAAAATAATAATATACTTCCTCTGAGACAAGAAAATTCAAGAACTACTTCTTGATACGTCAATCCCTAGAAAATATTTCAGGGATCCAAGGTCCTTCATCTCAAATTTTGTAGAAAAGTATCTTTGCAAGTCGCACACTTTTCCGGATCATTCCTTGTCACCACCATATCATCTACACACACAATTAGTGTAGTAAGCTTCCCATTTTGTATTTTCAAGAACAAAGTATGATCGAATTACTTTGTCTGTAACCAAATGCTCTTATAGGTTTTGTGAATCTTTCAAACCATGCTCAAGAGGATTATTACAAACCATACAAAGATTTCTTCAACTTGCACACCTTTTTTTGGTATTTATCTCGAGCATTACACCACGAAGGAAGATCCTTATAAATATGTTCGGTCAAATCTCCATGCAAGAAGACATTCTTCACATCGAACTATTGTAAGGGCCAGTTAAGTTTGCAGCCAAGGCCAACAAAACACGAACTGTGTTGATCTTGGTCGCAAGAGCAAATGTATCTGCACGGTCGATTCCAGATTTTGTATAGTGTACTCTTTCGCTACTAGTCTTGCCTTGAAGTGATCCATCATTCCATCAGCTTTGTACGTCACCATGTAAACCCATTTGCATCCCACAGGCTTCTTACCAGTTGGCAAGTCTGTGATCTCCCAAGTAGCATTCATCTTCAAAAACTTCAATTCTTCATTCATTGCAGCTTGCCAATGTGGATCAGCTAAAGCCTCCTGCACACTGTTAGGAATATATACAATAGATAATTGAAGCACAAATGACTTATTTGATTCTGATAAGTGATTGGTAGACCTCGGTTTGACGCAATCAGGGTTGGATTTATTCACTGGTATCTAGTTTTGCATTTAGGGTCGGCTTCGTAAGTAATTTAAGGAATACCTTTGTTGACACAATCAGGTAGACCACGAGGTGGTGCATGCTTCATTCTTGCCGGTGGAATTGTGGATCTTGATGCCGCAATATTTCGATTAATTAGCATTAGAAGCTGGAATTGTCGATCAATTGATCGATCTTGTTAGTGTTTGCATATTAATTTGTCTTCCTTAATTATTATTATTCTCATAGCTACTTAATTAGTTAGCCAGCCTTTTATGTTTAAGTTAGCTTCTTTAGAATTGGCTTCAATTCTTGTTCAGCAATTTGATCTTCTTTTCCTACTAGGCCCCAAGGCACACAGACAGAGAGAAAGGTCATAATTAACCACAAATCAAGACCATACATATTTAGGACATGCAGGTACGCCGTACATGTTACAGAATTCTTATTTATATTTCATTTTCCTGGTCTTCATTTTTTTCAATGATTCATTTGTTGAGTGTTGGCACATGCATACGTCTATGAAATGTGATCCCTCTTCCCTTGATCCCACCCCCAATCCATTGCCTTATGTTAATTTAGAAAATGATCATGATTATGGACGTCCATCGATCGTTTTCCGCTATTAAGATTTCTTCACGGTTACCACTAGACACTCTACGTGTTTCATGCAATACTCACGAACACTTCCAAGAATAGTCCTGTAACAAAATATCAAAATTACAAGAAGATATCAAATGTAATTAACTTGATCCATCACAAACCATTAAAAATAAAACAAATTCAGATAGTTTATGTGAATGAACTTAAAGAAACCGTAACCATGGCTTCCTTTGACCAAAGTGTCAGCTTTGAGTTTCTCAACATCAGAAACTATATGATAAATACCTAGAGTATTTATATATAGATCTTAAGAGAGTAATCGTAATTAAATTGAGAGACTATCTAAGAGGGAATTTAGCATAAGATATCCAATCTTCTTAGG